AACGTTTCTACGTTTTAATTTTTCGATTTTGTTATCCTTTTATATAATATACAGTATTTACCAAATATGTCATAGGTTTTTTTTAATGATTCTGAAAAGTGATTTAGTTATTAATGATGCACATGTTACTAATATAGATCTTTATTAACAACAAAAGATGTTAATAATATCATCTACTTTGTAACTAAAAAATTATTATATCTTATTACACAAACAAGTATAAATTTATTAAAAGTGATTGATCCATTGAAAATAATGGGAAGCTTCCTTTTACCAAAAAAAAAATATAAAAAAATAATGGAAGTTTCCAATTCGAAAATTTAACCTAATTTCCCTTTTTATGATTATTTTTCCTTATTCAATACATTGAACCTAATGTCTAATTGTCCACTATATATTTATATTTTGAGTGAATTGGTGAGATGTCACAAATGTAAATTGAGAGGGTAGCCAAAGAAAATAAAAAAACTGATGGAATAATGTTGATTATTACCTCTATGCTCACCAAAAGTCCAAAGAGTTGGTTTGCAATATTATTCCCTTTTTAAAGTAATATTTTATGATTTCTTGTCAAATGACATCAAAGTAATCAACAGTCAATTTCATAGTATTCACTTTAAATAATACTAAAACAAAAATCGATTTTGTCTGAAATGTAATTAGTCTGTGATTTTTCTGGTGTATAAGTGTGTCTATATTCAATCATGTGAACTGGTATTCTACAAACCAATGTTAAAATAAAAAAATGGTTTAAAGCGTCGGTTTGCTCTTTTTTCATCGGGCCGGTTTCCTTTTTTTAAGTCTTTTATATATATAAAAAAGAGAAACTGGGCTAAATAACTATTAAAAAAATTATAACCCACTAAATAACTATTAAAAAAAAACCAATTCTCCTCAATCCAATGGTCACAATATTGTCACACATATCATTTTTGTTAGATTTTGAATTATATTTTTTTTGGTTATTCACCAAATTTACCTTATAAAAAAAACCTACCAATTGTATTCTTTCCCAATTTAATGAAAATGAGATTAGCCGGTATGGTTGGCCCAATTCGAATTGATTGGCTAAGGTAATATACAAACAACTTGAAAGCATCACAGGCCACAATTTTTGGTCGGTTTTCTAAATTTAAGGTTGTGTGAGCATGCACGTCCCCCTCGCAACAACACTAGTCTTAGGTTTCCATATATGGTACATAAAATTTGATCTATCAAATGCATTTATTTCTTGGACTAAGTGAATTAAATTCCTATAATTTTTTTTATCAAAAAAAAAAATTCCTACAATTCTTTTTGTCTAAAATCTCTACAGCTTACTTTGAGCATTCAATATTTTG